TAGGGTGCTATGAGGAATATTCTCTGCATCAGTCAGATGAAGTTGCTCAACTTTATTTAGAGTTGGATATGGCCTGGACAGGACCAATGAAAGTGAGTGAAGCATGCCTAGATTCTGTTATCAGGGAAGAGTTTTAGATAGTTATTCCTCAGGAAGTGGACAGGATCATTGGGATGGGAACTCTGCCACCTGTGCATTGGACCATGCCCCCTCCTTCTTGGTTATGGCCGCCCAGGAGATGGCATGTGGTTTAGTTCGAGCTCTAGTAAATGACTCATTGGGTAAAGGTTGGTGCTACCTGCCCTGACTTGTGAAGGGCCTAAGGCAGGGATGATATATCCATCCTGGACTTCCTGGATCTCTTGGTGGAGTTTTACACCATTGACCATGGCATCCTCCTGGACCAGCTTCAGGGGTTGAGAATAGGGGCATGTTTTATGATGGTTCTCCTCCCTCTGTGGCAGGTTCCAATCAGTGTTGGGATGAGGGGAAAGATCAAACCCTAAACCTCTGCAATGTGGGGTATTTCCAGCCTTAGATCTTTTGTCCACCTTCTTCAATATCTACATGGTATCCAATGGCACAAGAGATCATACTTATTTATCCATCTCCACCCCTGGCTAACCAAGCAATGCTATCCTGTTGTTGAGCCAATGCCTGGGGGCTTTAAAGGTCTGGAAGGGGAAGAACTGGCTTTGACTCAAACCTAGCAAGATGGAGCAGTTCTGAGTCTTTGGTCCTCCTGGGTCTGGTCCAATATCATCTCTGACTTTTGCCAGGGTTGCACTCTCCCAGACTGGACTGCTGTGCAATCTGGGAGTCTTCCTGGACTCACCACTCCTGCTCAAGGAGCAGGTGTCAGTCATAGCTATAGGGGGCTTTTTTTATATGTGAGCCAATTACATCCATCCCTGGATCAGGAGGCCTTGCTCACAATCATTCATGTCCTGGTGAGTTCCCAGTTGGATTACTATAATGCATTCCACATGGGGCTGACTTTGAAAACCATCTAGAAGTGAGAGGTCATCCAGTAGCAACACTTTGGGTACCCCGATATGCCCTGTTACACCACTGCTGTGTGATCTGCACTAGTTTTCAAGTTCTTTCTGGGTGCAGTTCAAGGTGCAGGTTATCATCTTTAAAGCTCTGAATGGCACAGGGTTAGGTTATTTGCAGAACCATATCTTCCTGAGAGTGTCTGACATTCCTCCAGACCAGATAAGATGGACGTACTTCAGTTAAATGTTGCCCTTGAGTGGGCTTGGCAGTAGCAGCCTCTGCCTTTTGGCACACTTTTCCCTCAAACAGGTCCCTACTCCTCCCCCCCTCCCAGCCATCTAAAACCCCTGGAGATCTGGATTTTCCCTCAGGCTCTGAATAGGGTGTGGCTGAAGCACAATAAACCTGTTTGCAAATATAAAAGGATGTTTTGCATCTAGGAGTGATGGGAGATTTCAGGGCATTTTTTATGGTTTTCACTATTTTTCTCATTGTTTGTAAGCCACCCAGGATTATGATACATAAAATGAGTAGCTGTACTATTTTTGAAAATAAATAAATAACTATGCCTTGAGTTGCACAGAATAAAGGTAGGATATTAATCTAGTAAATAAATAAAATTTTAAAAATCACTTGCTACTTTTGCATTCCATCCTCAGCTTATATCCTCCTCTTCATTCTCATATCCTACTCCTATTCCCCTTCTCCATTTGAAAAGAGAGAAAGCAATATATAGCTGTGTTTATAATTTATATCTCCTCTTCTTCAACTATCCAGATATCAACTGGGAGACAAATTCTGCAGTGAGTGGGAGATCAAACAGATTCCTAACCAACCTAGCCGACAACTTTGCCATCCAAAAGTTGGAGGAAGGAACTAGATATAAAGCTATACTGGACTTAATTCTTACTAATAGAGAAGAAATGATAGAGGGAGTTGAAATTGCCAGAACCTTGGATGAAAGTGGCCACATCATACTGGAATTTAATGTAATGCAAACACTAGCAATAGTAAACAATCCAGCTAGTGTCTTAAACTTCAAAAGAGCTAATTTTAAACTCAGAGAGAACCTAGGAAAGATTCCATGGATGAAAATCCTAAAGGGTTTCCCAAGAAGCATGGGAAACCCTAAAAAATGTGATCATAATAACCCAGACCAGCATAATACCACTGAAAAAGAAAAACAAAAATTCAAGAAGAAACCGGCATGGCTGCACAAAGATCTCTCTGATAAATTGAAAGACTTCTGAAGGAGCTGGCAGATATTATCTCAGAACCACTGCACCATATCTTTCAAAAATCCTGGAGCACCAGGGAAGTACCTGAGGATTGGAAAAGGGCTGATGTGGTTCCCATCTTCAAGAAAGGGGAAAAAAACGGACCTAGGAAACTACAGAACAATCAGTTTAACATCAATACCTGGGAAGATCGTAGAAAAGATAATCAAAAAACAAATCTGCAAACAACTAGAACCAAACAAAGTTATAACTAGTGGCCAGCACAGATTTGTTAAAAACAGATCATGCCAAACCAATCTTATTTCATTCTTTGATAAAATGACTAAACTAGTAGACCAGCAAAATGCTGTGGATGTAGTATACTTAGATTTCAGTAAGACATTTGATAAAGTAGACCACAACTTACTCCTTGGTAAGCTAGAAAAAGATGGAATAGACATCACCACCAGATGGATCTGTAGCTGACTGGCAAACCGTACTCAACAAGTAGTCTTCAATGGTACTACATCTACATAGAGAGAAGTAAGCAGTGGGGTACCACAAGGCTCCGTCTTAGACCAGTACTCTTCATCAATGACTTAGATGAGGGAATAGAAGGGGGAACTCACCAAATTTGCAGATGACACTAAACTGGCAGGAATATCCACCACCTCAGAAGACAAACTCAGGATTCAAAAAGATATTGACAAATTTGAACAATGGGCCCTATCCAACAAATGAGTTTCAATGTGGAGAAAAACAAAGTTTTACATTTAGGCAGGAAAAATCAAAGGTACAAGTACAGATTGGGTGAGACCCGGCTCAAAAACAGTAACTGTGAGAGGGACCTTGGAGTCCTAGTGGATGATCACTTGACTATGAGCCCACAGTGTGCAGCAGCAGCCAAAAAAGCTAATACAATCCTGGGTTGCATAAACAGAGGCATAGAATCAAGATCATGCAAAGTATTAGTACCGCTTTATAAAACCCTAGTGAGACCACACCAGGAATACTGCAGCCAATTTTGGTCACCATATCACAAAAAAAGATGTTGAGACCTTGGAAAAAGCTCAGAGAAGAGCAACTAAGATGATCAAGGCCTGGAGACTAAAACACATGAAGAATGGCTGCAGGACTTGGGTTTGGCTAGTCTAAAAAAAAAGAAATGATGACATGATTGAGGGGCTGCCACAAAGAAGAGAGAGTTAAATTATTCACCAAAGCATCAAAAGGCAGGACAAGAAACAATGGTTGGAAACTGATCAAAGAGAGAAGCAACCTGGAATTAAGGAGAAAGTTCCTAACAGTGATGACAATTAGCCAATGGAACAGCTTGCCTCCAGAAATCATGGGCGCTCCACCACTGGAGATTTTTAAGAAGAGACTAGTCATCTGTCTGAGACGGTATAGGTTCTCCTGCTTGAGCAGGGGACTAGAAGACCACAAAGGTCCCTTCCAGTTCTATTCTATTCTATTCTATTCTATTCTATTCTATTCTATTCTATTCTATTCTATTCTATTCTATTTATTCTTCTAAGAATGGGTATCATCTTCCTTTCAAGGGTGTCTGCCATTCAGGTTTAATAGCTCATTTGCCTCTATGTTTTTATGGCATCTCCATCAGCTTTATTCCAGAATCCCCACCTCCTCTTGGGTCTTATCTAAACTTGAGATCACTGAAAACCAGACTTTTTTCTGCTGGCACTGATCACTCATAAAGCAAATTATACAATGCAGACTTTCAAAAGAGCTTTGAGGGCATATGGTGCAAAGCCAAAGATTACCAGCAGGTGGAGATGTTCACTTAGGGGCCTGATGGAGGAGAAAGGTCCCTGGAGTCACTGTAGAGTCTGGTTTCCAGAAGTGCCAAAGGCCCCTCCCCATTCCAAACAGGCCACTTGTGGTAATTAAGATCCTGTGTCATTGCATGCCTCCTGTCTTGGCTCAAGTCCAGCTGGAGTAATTATGCCATCCTGCCCTCTATGCATTCCCTGCAGCTGCTATTTTTATTTATGAGTTTATATTTAGTCTGGTAATGAGTCTAACATACTGCACGTAATAGGAAAGACATGGAAACAAGCAAAAAGATGGAAAACAAGAAGCAGGAAAGCATGAGTCTGCTTGGCTTGATTTGTCCCTCCTGAGGCTGTTTTGTCTGCAAGAAAAGGAGCCCGGATAAGAATACACTTTAGCAGTTTCAAGCAATTAAAGGAAAATTGCCCTTCGCCTAGTGTGGGGGTGGGTGGGTGAGAAATCTTTAATTCCTGCAGATTGGAGAAATGATTATTTGCTCACAGTGGAAATGCATCCCTCTCTCACTCACTCACTTTTCCCCCATTAGGACAGAGTCATTAGCAACCAAGCTGGGAGCCATGTGCCTATTGTCTTTCTGAGCCTTTCCTTGCCAAGGACAAGGGAATTGGCCAAATAGACTCTGCATCTGATCACTGTGCTCCATTGCAATCAATAGCAGGAAGGTGGCTGCAAATGTGTTCTCCAAGCTGCCTCCCTGACTAATTCCAGAAGTTCTTTCATGGATGAACAAGAACCTTCTTCTACCTTGTAGTTCAGAATTCTGGTCTCTCCCCAGGTTGTAGTCCTGACTGGCCCTTTTTAGTTCTGATACTTGCTCCATCCATCTTTGTCTCCCAAGCACAAAGCTGATGAAGAGAAATTTCAACAAGCTGGGAAAGGAGACTGCTTTTTCTCTCCACTTGATCTGCCCAGTTGATGTAATGACCATACCAACTGCTTAAAGGAAACTCCAAAGGATTTCAAACATACCTGAAGAAAAGGAGTAGGTCTTCAATCACATTGCTGCACTCATTATCTGCACAACCTTGCTAGAATCCCAAATATGCTTTTTCAGGAGGCAACTGGACTTTCCTGATTTCTTTGAAGATATTTCACTTCTCATTCAAGAAGCTTCTTTAGCTCTGGCTGGATGGTGGGGAATGGAAAGATTTATATCTGCAGACAGCTGATCATTTGCATTCTTTTAGTAAGTTGTTTATGCCACTGGAGGTTTATCTGTGTCATCGGGGTCACCTGTGCAGCCTTCTTGGAACGGCTGAATGAACTGTGTTGTAGATTGGAGATAGATGATGTTGTATCCCTCCCCCTCTGTTGAAAGAGGGCTGTCCAATTTTGACATAGATGGCCTCTTTGACCCCCCTTTCAAACCAGCGGTCCTCTCTGTCCAAAATGTGGACTTTGCTATCTTCGAAAGAGTGGTCTTTGTCTTTCAAATGCAGATGGACTGCTGAATCTTGTCCCAATAGGTTTGTTCTCCTATGTTGTGCCATGCATTTATGAAGTGTTATTTTGTTTCCCCGATGTACAGATCTGCACATGGCTCACTGCATTGTACTGCATATATGTTGCTCAGATTCTAAGCTTGCAACTTTGTAGGACCTAATGATCTAAGACTAAGTTTTGGATTTTCCCAACTTTTAATCAACAACAAATTAAAATTAGATGTCAGTCTGGTAGATACCAAGGAAGGCATCCTTAACAGAACGCAACAGAATTTAAAAGAATAACAGAGTTGGAAGGAATCTTGGAGATCTTCTATTCAACCCCCTGCTCAGGCAGGAAACCTTATACCATTTCAGACAAATGGTTGTCCAATCTCTTCTTAAAAACGCTCAGTGTAGGAGCATTCACAATTTCTGGAAGCAAGTTGTTCCACTGATTAATTGTTCTGTCAGGAAATTTCTCCTTAGTTCTAGGTTGTTTCCTTCCTTGATTAGTTTCCATTCATTGCTTCTTGTTTTGCCTTCAAGTGCTTTGGAGAATAGAGTGACTTCCTCTCCTTTGTCGCAACCCCTGAGATATTGGAACTGCTATCATGTCACCCCTAGTCCTTCTTTTCATTAAACTAGACATACCCAATTCCAGCAACCGTTCTTTATATGTTTTAGCCTCCAGTCCCCTAATCATATGTGTTACTCTTCTCTGCACTCTTTCTAGACTCTCAACATCTCCACATCTTGGACGTACTGAAACCCATGGCAACATGTTATAAGTTCAGGTTCTAGATAACTATTTCCATTGACTTTGTTGGCCATTGTTCTAAACTATGTCACAATATCTTAACATTATATCAGAAGCTTGTTGGCAACTACATGATATTTTCAACATTATCATACCATTTTTCCACTTTATTGCAAGAGCAGATAAATGGGATATTGTATCCAGTTGTTCCCAGACAATTCTCTTAACACTAACCAGGTTCCACATTTTAGCTCCTTTAATAAAGTTTTTAAAGCTTCCTTTAATAAAAGAAACCTAATCAGGATTATCATTTTGCAAAGCCAATACCAGCCTCTAAGCATCATGCTTATATATAGCCACACGGCCCCATAAAAGTTCTGATGGGCTGGTAGAGAATGTTCTGGGACCACGTTCACCTTTTGATTAATGAGAGGAAGGAGGAGATTGTGTCTAATTGGGCTCACCTTGGCTGCCATTTGATTAATAGGCATCCCTCACATGGCACCTAGTGTGCAGAGGTGCCCATCACATGGTCTTCCAAATGGCCCAAAAGGTTTTTCTACCCTGCTACATTTGTGACCAACAGCATCTTTCAAAAAGTCTGTTTTAGGGTGCCTTGCAGGATTGTAATGACAAGTTGATATGCATGGCTTAACCCTCATAGAAAAAAACATCCTCATAGCTGGGAGAAATAGAATGTGCCCACTTACTGTAGCTCCCTGGCCACCGGCTAAAAATTTTGATTGCTTGTCTGGAGTTTTTAAAAATAACTAAATCACCTTAAATCTCCATAAAAGAGCTTTAAGTCATAATTTGTCACTAAGCAGCCTTGATTAGGCTTAATGTTGAAAAGTTGGAGATTTGCAGCTGGCAAGAAGATTGTAGATGTGATCCTGGTAGAAAGCCGGATTCATAAAATGCTGATAGGACCAAATTCAGCACAAGTTCCTGATTCTTATCTTCTAAAATGTCTACTCTTTTCTCAGCTCAATCAATCTCCATCATTTTTCAACTAACAAAGGTCTTCTACTGTCTTAAATGCCTTTTGTTAAACTGAATCACTTCTATCCAAGTTCTAAATTGTACCTCTTTCCCTTTTCGTTCAGATCTATATGATATCTAGATTCATGTCCTCTTTAACTAACGTTTTGTTGGACTCAGTTCTGAAATTTCCCTCCTGCCCTCTTCATTCCAGGAACATAAGATGGAGCAGGCAGGGACCTTGTCTTATGCTACAAAGGATCATGTACATTGGTGACATGTAGAAATGAAAAATAATCCTTCAAAGGTTGATATTCCCCCTGTAGCATCATCTCCTTGCTCTCAGATTCCTGGAATTCCTAAGAATTATAGTTCCCTGGCAGAACATACAGGTAGCCCTTGTTTAATGACTGCTTTATTTAACAACTGTTTGCAGTTACAACAGTGATGAAAAAGTAACTTTATGTCCAATCGTCACATTTATGACCTTTATGATCTTCACAGATTTGTAAAGTAAAAGAAAACTAAAGTAAGGGAATACACAGAGTTTCATTTAGTGACTGTTTCATTTAACGACCCATTGCCAGTCCCAATTGTCATTAAGCAAAGACAGAAGGTCTCACATTAGATTCTCAGCATCTCCAGTGAGGCTGGCAAGGAAAGCCACTGCCAGTCTTTGTAGACAATATATTAGATTAAGCTGGACCAAAGGTCCATCTTGATACATTCACACAACACTGTATTTGTGCAATGCATTGAACAATAAACAAACCAGGCTGTCTGGGTTCACACAACATACTAAAACCACAAAAAAACCAATTAAGGTGAACATACAATTTTTTATCATGTTGCAATTATCACACAACGTAATATGCTTACCACAGTCAAGAAAAGATATCTTAGAAGAAAAGATACAGTATCTTAGATATCTTAGAAAGATATTTAAGATTTGTACTGTTCACCTTGTTAATTTTTTGTGGCTTTTGTATGTTGTATGAACTCAGACTGTATACAGTAGACAGCTATGGTCCTATGTTGTTTTAGAGGAGGGGTGGGGAACTATGACTTTATGACTTCTGGACTTCAACTCCCAGAATTCCTGAGCCAGCAATGCTGGCTCAGGAACTCTGGGAGTTGAAGGCCACAAGTCCACTTCTGTTCTAGAGGATAAACTTGGGGACTTTTCTGCATGCAATCCAAATATCTACAATGAGAATAAGTGAGGTCAAAGATATCTGAGTCCAAAGCAGAAGTGTAAATTGAGAAAACATCTCAGACTTGATCCTTCCTAATTCTTTTATAGAGAAAGGCAGCGAAGGGATGCACTTTCAGACTTGCAAAATTCTGTTACTTTAACCCTATAGCAATAGCACTTAGACTTATATACCACTTCATAGTGTTGCACAGCCCTCTCTAAGTGGTTTACAGAATCAGCATATTGCCCCCAACAATCTGGGTCCTCATTTTACCAACCTCGGAAGGATGGAAGGCTGAGTCAACCTTGAGTCAGTGAGGATCGAACTGCTGGCAGTGGGCAGAATTACCCTGCAGTACTGCATTCTAACCACTGTGCCACCATGGCTTTTATAACAATAGTAGTTTTAGTATTCATAACTGATTTCCAAGTCTGGTTTAACTTGAACAGCTGATAATACCCCAATATGTATCAGCAGCCTTCCTACTTTAGTACAGCTTTACTTACTATTTTTCTGTTTATATCATTCTTTTATTCTGACACCTATGATGGAGGTTTGACTGAGAGGGACAGACCCACAGTCACCAAGGGATTTTCCATAGCTGAAATCTTTCTAATCCAAGTCCAATATTTTAAGTACCATATTAATCTATCTTCTTTCTGGTTTATAAATCCACCTTACTTACTACAAATTATCTGATGGATGAGGAGAATGACACTGACTGAAAAATTCAGAACAGCAAAAAGAATTTACAGTATTATTATAAAACATGATGATGACCACTGATTTGGAAAGTTTTCAAAGACAAATGGAGAATATGTCTATTAAGAGATATTTGTCTTGTATTACATCTAGATTAGGGCTAATATGCTTTGAAATGCCAGCTGCCAGAAAACAATGGTCAAAATGCACATTCATCTGGACATTTTTGAAAAGCCTTTATATGGGCAATTTGCATTAAAGTAAAGGTTCTAGGGAAATTTGAGCCTTAAAAGCTTTGTAGATTTTACACTAAAAATTATGTACTTTTAAGAACATTGTATAGAAAAGCTTTGTATACTGGGAAAGCAGTTAAGGATTTTGTTGTATTCTTTTCACAGGTCTTTGAAAGAAAATCCATTTCATTTAAAAAGAAATTACCTGCCAGATTTTTGCCACAATAATGCAAACAATAAAATAGTTGAGGTCTATAGTGAACCACACAGGGGACCCTGCACAGCAGAATGATGCTAATGATGCTAAATTTGAGGAGATGCAAGAGGTACAGGTTTATCCCGAGCCATGGACTTCACTAGATGTCAGACACAAAGGATCATAACCATCTGTAAGATTGCAGCATAGAAGATTTATTCAAACCTATGCACAAGAGTTAACAAAAGTTCACCACTAGATTGGTACCAGGCAAGGGTCAACAGAATTTAAGAGGCACTTGTGGGAATGCAACAACTCTAAACTGATGACACTCTTAGCTCCACCCCCAGCTCTGCCTGTTCTTCTTCTACACTAGATGACTTTGGGCCAGTCCTCCTCTCTTAGTTAATCTTATCATAGAATTGTTGTGGGAATGGACACTCCTTTCACCTCCTGAATCTAAGAAATAAATTCCTAAGAGGTATGTTCTTCACCCAACCTAGCCCTCCAAAAGACTTTTAGAGGTTGTCAAGAACCAGTTTGCTAATTAGATCTGTATCGCTTTTTCCTTCCATGCTTCTTTTAGGATTTTAAATTCACCAGGAATATTAACTAATATGTCAAATTGTAGTGAAGGTGCACCTGTCCCAGGCCATT